AAGCCTTTGGAAGATTGCCAAGTGAAACTCAATTAAAGGGTGAGATCTACCCAATCCATTGTAGAAAAATAAACTATCAGGCCAGCCATCAGAGAAAGCCTTCGCATATCTTAGTTAAACTATGAATTCACTCATATGCATAGTAAGTATGCTTCAATACAGCTGATAGATCATATATAAAAGCTCTTGTCACACTGGGCCGCATAGGATGATAGTTGCCTTTTCTCACATTAGTATGGATAAGTCTCACAATTCCAGTAAATTCCATTTTGTCTCGCCTACAAGAATAGAGTGTAGTCTCAATCTCCCAGGGGTCTCACCAAAATATAGCGCTAATGGAAGGACTTCAAATATAAACAAGGAGATATAAAATGAGTTATTAAAATAGAGGTGAGATTTAATTTTTATTAACAGTGATCATTATCATGTCTTTTGAGGGCCGTCCTTGGTGAAGCTAACGTACACGTTTCGCCATATGCTCGGGTCCAGTCATGTGAAAAAATTCTCGAGAATAACGAATACCGTAATCGGGATCAAGGAATTGTAGCCAGCCAGTTTGACAGGACAGGAGAAATAATCTTCTGAGTGATGAACCAACTAGGATCAATAAACCTTTCAAACGAGATGCGAAATCAGCGACGAAGGCAATTACTTTTCTCTAACTTCACATAAAGGGCCACACACTTGAAAGATATTGTGACAAACGAGCATGGAAAGAGGAGTAGGCACGAAAATTGGTCATATGAAGTGGGATTATAGGACTAGGATATAGCCTTATGATACTGGGACAGCTGGGGAAAGAGAGGTGCCACAGGCAGTTAAACTAATATTTGTCACTTCGTCGAGTTGTGATTCGGTGCTAAGGGTGTGCCTCTCATTTACGATGCCATACGAGGCGTCTGAGTCTAGGTAAAGTCAACGACCTGATGCTGGAACTTATCTTGAGTACTATTACATATGAAGAAGAACTGGGCTCATTCCACAAGGTCTCTCTTTCGTTCTGATCATATTGTGAAAACGAGGCAAACTCAACACTTTACAAGTTAAAGATATTGCGACCAAATCTAGAGATTAATTACGCAAAATAAAGACATCACGAACACATAGTACACGCACAAATTTGCACAAGGTTCGAGATAATATTATTATTCCTGCTCCAAATAGGCACAGTTTCAGGCTGAGCTGAGCTACCCCTTAAAAGATAGGTGCATTTCTTCTTACTCCGTAAGAATGAGCACCGAATGGGGCCGAGATTAAAATTGTACTTTAAGCCCTAAGAGTTAATTCAATAACGAATAATAGGATTATAGTCAAAATTACTTGTTATAGATATGGGGTAGACAAGTTTGCGGTTTGGGGTCACCTTGATGCAAAATCAGGTCATTATATCTTCTTTTTATGGCCAGATAACCTTGATTTATACTTTGGTGAAATATGTTATTTCCTGGCGACAGAACGCAACATATCTGACAATATGGTTTGTTTAAAATCATTCTTAATCATAAACCTTTCTATTTCTCAAAGCCAGCCAAAATGATAAATGATAAATTGTAACTGTGCGTTGAGGATGGAGCCCCTAAATGACAATGCCGACTGCGATGTCGACGAAGCGTCTGGGAAAATACCGAGTCAGTGGTACCATGCTGGAAGTCATCATGAATACTATGGCGGGAGATGCAAGATGTACCACAAAGTCTCCCTGCCGCTCGGACTAATTTGCGAAAATGAGGTCAAACCAACAAAATAACCTACTAAGAAAGCTAAGGAGTGGGAAGCTTTGGAGCCGGCTTCAGAGAGAATGAATGAGAAAATATGAAGAATGGGAGCAAGATGCACTAAAGATCACTAGTGGCCATCAAAGCCAAACTTGGATTCAGACAAGTTCCCTTTTGATTGGATCTGAAGCTTTAGAATCAAGAGGAATTAAATCTGGAGGAGAGATCTAAACTTGAAAGGTGGGTCCAGGTGCAGCAAATTTATAAACTAAGAAGCTACTTGCTCGTTAGCTTCAAAATTGACAAATAACTATGTCTACATTTAGACCAATATGGCATATCGTCTTCATTCTCCCAAATTATGCTCATCTTACGCCCCATCCTTACCCCAACAACTGCATTTTACCACTCCTCACCAAATTACTTTGTCAATCTCGTGATAAAGTAAATCTGCTTTGCGTGTCATCTTCTAGTAGATGTTGTGAAAGCGTGATTTGGGGCTAAAATCCTACCTGGATCGCAGGTATGGCAATCTTTGATTCCCGGTCGGTTCGGACAGAAAGTGATCCAGTCAGCAAATGGGCTGTCCGGACGAAGTCGTCCCGCTTCCAAACCCAGCCCGAGGGCCAGACCGACTGTGGCGCCAACCAGGTCCTGGGTACAGACTGGACAGCCGACAGCGTCCGTCCAGTCCCAGTAGGCCAGCGCAAAATCGTCGCCATCCCGGCGGGCCACTGGGTCGGCAGATTCGCGGGTGGCCAGTCGGCCGAGCTCGGCTTCGAAAAGTGTGAGGAATGCGCGATGCCAAGTCAGAAAACCTGGACCCTGAAGTGGGATTCCGAGAGGGAAGAAGAGCACGAAGCAAAGTAGCTAACAGGCTGGTCACAATATGAGTTGCAGCCTAGCTCTAATTAAAGCGAACCGAATTGGCTCTAACTTGGTTGAATAGAAGAGACACAAAACAAAGGATCCTAATGGCTTTTCGAATCAGGAGCCAGGTGGGAGAAAAAATGGCAGAGGAATACAAATGATCAGCAACGATACAGTCCTGATTAGGCAACAACTCACCTTCAATATTGCATACAGCAGTTGCGAGAGAAACCCGTCTATGGACGCATCGATAATCAGGGTGGAAGCAAGTACCATCGAGATAATGATCATTCTCAGTCGGCTCATGGCAATCCTTGACGGTGGATGAGCTCAGTATGGCCAAGTTATGACGATTATTACAAGTTAAATTAAAATGTATACTTTCCGGGAAAATTTAGTTGGAATAGCTTTGGAGTTAGAATACGAATTTAGTGATCCTAGATTGCCTATTGTGATTTAAGGTGACTGATAGTTGAATTTTTTCACAATGAGATGAGTAGCACTCAGGAGGCATGGCTACCTCATTCTGGTTGTGCAGCAGTTTCGACCTCGCCCAGATCTCATCAACGATCAGTCCTTAAATCACCCTAAGTTACATAGATTGAATGAATTGCTATTTAAGTACTATTGAGGGTATCGAAACCTGCTTATACCGAAAATGTGTGAATTAGCTGCATATGTGAAGCTTCGATTCCACAATGAAGTCCTGGGGCTCTGACTTGCGATCCCGATTATTCCGTTCTGAGGTTTTGTCTGTCCATTCGCATCAGGCACAACCAGAAGAAGAAGAAACCGTCATCACGCTCTAAGACAAAAATTGTAACCGGCTACAGTTCTACTAATTAATAATAGCCTAACTTTACCCCTGAATGAGGCATCCCAACAATTGTTTGGCTAGAAGTTGTTTGACCTTGTTTTCGCAACTTGCTCATCTTGATAGGAAGACTTAGAGGAATGCACCTAATCTGGAGTCCATTGTATGCATGATCATTTCCAGAGTAGGACCGTTGACGTGGAAAAATTCCCAGACGTTTCGCCGGCATCGTAGTCGGCATCTTCAGTGAGTCTCGTCATTCTTAGCACCAAACTACAACTCGTCAAAGAGACAAGTGAAGCCGACCCTTTGACCGAACGTGTGCTAAATAATTGTGGTATCTCCCTTTCTGCCCTGGGCTATTCACGTTTCCTATATCCTCCTATCACGCCTTCACTGTTACAATTTTTACCGTACCTATTTAGATGTAGTGTGATATGCTCCTTTGAGCGGCATTCATGAAAACCATTCACATTCCACTCTATCGTTCTCATCGCTTCACCCTTGCGCTGGGAATGTTGATCACAGTCTGCCATATTGTTACGCAAGCCTCCTTCTCTATCACAGTCCCCCTCTTTCCCCTTAGGATCCCTCTGCTATCGCTCTGGTTTAAGCATTTCACTCGACCTCTGCCACCCCATCTGTACTACTCGAGGCGTTATTTCCCACATTCTGCGTCTGAGTGACCAATTCGATGCTAAAGTCTATGAGTAAGTCTCATGGTCACGCCATTGCTACATGGACCACATCTATGGTACAACAGACTTACTGTCAGCCAACTATCTCCAACTAGCGTCTATCCTGTTTCTATCCGTAATACCAAGTCTATGACTTCCTATGCCCTAGTGTCTTGCATGCCAACCCACAAACGTTGTGGTTCAACATTGAACCTAATAAAAGCAAGCAGTACCACAAGCACGGTCCTATTCTGGAAATGATGATGCATGCAATGGACTCCGGACTAGGTGTGTTCCTCTAAATTTTCCTATCAATATGACCAAGTTGCGAAAGCAAGGTCAAACAACCTCTATACAACGAAAGGAGACTGCGACCACACAA